ACGGATGCGAGGTCGAAGATTGAAGCTCGAATGATGAAATTCAAAACTCTCGAGGGTGACGTGTTGGCCACGGCCTTCAACGACGAGTCCGAGGAAGGGCATGCTGTGGAGGTCTTCCGACGTCGAGCATGCACAGAAGATTAGCATCCCAGGTTGCAGTTGCAGCAAAATTCTGTAGAAGTTGTCTAGGGCTCTGCATAAGCAGGGTTCGGTGCACAACAACGTGCGATCTCGAAGCTGGGGTCCTGGGTTGGGTTGGCTGGTGTGGTTGCGTTGCGACTGCCTGCATCTCTTTTAGGCGCCCTCAACACTAAACCCTCAACCCTAAATTGTTTAGGGTTTGCGGGACCCTTAGCGTAGTGTGAGCAGCCGGTCTGCCGCTTTGCCTGCCTTGACAGAGTCGAAAATAGTCCGCTCAGGAGTTCAGGCTTTCCAACCTCACCCCCGAAACCTGGATTCGTCAAGCCCAACGGCCCTGAAAACTTCCGACAGGACCCTAAACCCGCCTAATCTAGAAGACTGAGTCGTGAGATTCTTGCTTTATCATCCCCCAGTAGTTATACTATGATCGACTGCACCCCCAACACCTTACCGCCGACATTGGGAGCCCCCTATGTTCAAACCCAGTGCAACCCCAGAGCCTCCCCGGTTGCAGGAGCTGGAGCTCAGCTCCTCAAACCTCTGGGCCTTGCCCTCTCCGAAGATCGAGCGGGACCTGGACAGGCGCGGGGGGGCTGTAGGCTGAGTTTAGGGTTTAGGGTTTAGGGCTGCCCAGAAGAAATCCAGAAGCCCTTTCATGGAGGGCTGCTTGTTATCACATAAGCTACCGGGGGTATCCCATTAGTTGAGGATTCCTTGTCATGGGATCCCGTGCTGTACCTTAAGGAGTAGTTACTCCCTTACTTAGGCGAGACTGGAGTCTCTGGGTTTAGGGCATCCTTGAGAGGTTGCCCTACAGAAACCTGCCGTTTTTGGGAGGCTTAATTTGCAGGATGTGTGTCTGCTAAGCCAGGGTGCCTCGTAGTCGTAGCCGGTCCCCCGGTCCTAGGTCCTAGATCTTTTTGTGGGTGTGCTTCTTGAGTTCGAAGTCAGAGTTTTGATCTATGGGTCTCGTGGGTGGTTCAAAGTTGGGATAGCGATTGAATGCCCCTCTCTTTAGACCAGTGCAGCGTAGATTCTTCATCAATGGCTTTCAAATTGTTGTCTGAAGCTTCCAAGAATATGGACTTCTCCCTGATCCTAGCCTCAGCCCTGAGTGTTGCAGGCATTCGATTGGGGCCTCGAAAGCCTCATTCCTAAGTCCCTGACGTCTTGATCCCTCAATTCCCCCCTGTCCCGGGGATGGAGTTGGGTCGTTGTTTTCGAAATGTGGCCGACTTCGGATCCCTCCAAGAAGATCAACACCCAGACCCGAACCAGGGTAGTTCACGCAGATCCAGGTGCGACTACCTGACTATGAACGGCTCGTCTTCTTCAGTCTCGAGTCCTGTGTCACTTTGCACTATGACTTTGAGTCTGTGACAGTCGTGATGATCAGGACGACAACGACGATGATGATGACCCCTAAGCCCTAAACCCTTAGTCTTTGACCTAAGCCCGAAGCCACAAGCCCTAAGCCTTACACCCGAACGCCATGGCCCCTGCAGGTACTACGCTGATCCTTGGCCCATGGTCGACTCGGGATCCCTGCTGCTTTTCGTTGGCTTCCCTTCGGCCAAGGACGTGCAGGGTTCAGTGTGTGTGTGTGTTGTTTTTTTTTGTTTTATTGGGGGGGGGGGGGGTG